AATATTAGAATACTGTTTTCCTCCTATTTATATATATGTTGCAAATAATTCCACTTCACGGGCTGTGAAGTTTGCTTTCTGAACATCCCATGAACCTCTACTAACCAAATTCCAGGATTTTGTAAAGTTTTTTGTCAGATTGGACCACGAGATGTATTTTACTTAGTCAAATGAAGAGGAGAAACACTGTCGTTTTAGATTTTAACTGTTGTTTTTCTCATGTCGATTCGCCATCAACCTAGCTGTCCCAAAACTCTGTTGGGACATTCTTGTATAGTTGGCATAAGAACCGTCCTTCTCCAGCGGCTGTAGTTTCCTACCTACATTTCGAAGGAACATTCATTGGAAGTTTGAAGGCACTGTGCTTTGGTCTTTTGAGTGCATTAATTCGAGTTCAGAATCAACCTACCAATCACCATTTATAGTTAATGGTTTAAGATTTAGTCTCAGGTTTGAGGTTTCACTCTAAAATTAACATAATCGCATTTCCATTTCCATTTCCATTTCCAATCAAACTTCACTTCCATAGTTGAGAAAACAACAAATTAATTAAAATCAAAAGAGATTGAACGAGGCACTCTTGAGGAATATAATAACGCTCTGTTTGACTCTGTTTGTTCATTTATATCTTGCTTCTTGTTTCCGTAAGTGATAACACAAAAGCTAACAAGTATCCTTCTAAACTGTCAAGTGATGATATCTTTACTTTAAGAAAGCTACCTATAAAATTTAAAAAGAAAAGAAAATGCAAAACCAATCAACTATTTTGTCAGGACCCAACGTCTATTTGCACCTAAAACCAACCACAACCACCTAGTAGTTTCCAGCTGACATTTCCAAAGAGTTTCTCTCTCTCTATCTCTGTTTCTCTCTGCATGTATTTTGCAGTTGCTTAAATCTGTGTAGAATCTACCAGAATTTTTGAGAGAGGAATTGATTTTTTTTGGTGTTCATTTTGGTGGTGTACCTGTGGCTAAGTTAAAGGAATACGTAATGGGAGAGGAGGAAGCCAACAAAATGGAAGCCTCTGAACCCAAGGAGCAGCAGCCTGTTAAGGAAGAGAAGGATGCACCAGCAAAGAAAGATGTAGCTGAAGAGAAGAGCCTGATCCCAGTTCCTGAAAGTATGCTTTCTCTCAGAGTCTAGGATTGTCTTAAACAACTCATATGATTCGGTGTAATGCTTTTATCAACTTCATCTCTCTGAAATTTGCTTTTCCTTTTGTGTGATTTTGGCATTAAGGATCTTCTCTATTTTGACATGT